TCTTTTCTTTTCTTTTCTTTTCTTTTCTTTTTTCTTTTCTTTTCTTTTCTTTTCTTCTTTTTTTCTCTTTTCTACTCTTCTCTAGGGTGATTAATCTGTTGTTTTTTATGTTTCAGGGTAAAATGAAGATCTCAATTGAAGAGTGAGAGAAAAAAGAAAAAGAAAAAAAAAGTCAATAAAGGTTTTTAAAAAATAAAATAAAATAAAATAAAAAAACCTCTTCTCTACTCTTCTCTAGGGTGATTAATCTGTTGTTTTTAATGTTTCAGGGTAAAATGAAGATCTCAATTGTAGAGTGAGAGAAAATAAAGAAAGAAAAAAAAAGTCAATTAAGGTTTTTAAAAAATAAAATAAAATAAAATAAAAAAACCTCCTCTACTCTTCTTTAAGGTGATTAATCTGTTGTTTTTTATGTTTCAGGGTAAAATGAAGATCTCACCTTGAATTGTAGAGTGAGAGAAAAAAAAAGAAGTCAATAAAGGTTTAAAAAAATAAAATAAAATAAAATAAAAAAAACTCTTCTCTACTCTTCTCTTCTCTACTCTTCTCTTCTCTCTCTTCTCTAGGGTGATTAATCTGTTGTTTTTTATGTTTCAGGGTAAAATGAAGATCTCAATTGTAGAGTGAGAGAAAAAAAAAGTCAATAAAGGTTTTTAAAAAATAAAATAAAAATACATTTAAAAAAACTCTTCTCTACTCTTCTCTTCTCTACTCTTCTCTTCTCTACTCTTCTCTCTCTTCTCTAGGGTGATTAAGCTGTTGTTTTTTATGTTTCAGGGTAAGATGAAGATCTCACCTTGAATTGTAGAGTGAGAGAAAAAAATAGTCAATAAAGGTTTGCAATAAAGGTTTTTAAAAAATGAATTAAATTAAATTAAAAAACTCTTCTCTCCTCTCCTCTCCTCTCCTCTCCTCTCCTCTCCTCTCCTCTTCTCTCCTCTCCTCTCCTCTTCTCTCCTCTCCTCTCCTCTCCTCTCCTCTCCTCTCCTCTCCTCTTGTCTCCTTTCCTCCTCTCTCCTCTCCTCTCCTCTCCTCTCCTCTCCTCTCCTCTCCTCTTCTCTCCTCGTCTCTCCTCTAATCTAAACTGTTTATTATCTGTTCCCCTCTGCCTGGCAGACGGAGCTCCAGGATCTGCTGAAGCCCGTTTCCGATCACATCCAGCAGATCCAGAGCTTCAGGGAGCAGAACCGGGGCGGGCCGCTCTTCAACCACCTCTCCGCGGTCAGCGAGAGCATCCCGGCCCTGGGGTGGGTCGCCGTGGTGAGGACTCAACTCAACTCAACTCAACTTTATTTATAAAGCGCTTTCAGTCGGCCAAAGCTAAAATCAAAGCGCTGTACAGGTCATTTGAGCAGATCATAAAACACAATCATCACCACAACACAAGACAAACTCAAAGATAATAATAAAAAAAATTTAAAAAAACAGTAAGGGCAAAAAATAAATAAATAAGTAAATAAATAAATAAAACAAAAATAAGAAGAAAAAAAAAAAAAAAAACCAAGAAAGAGAGGGAAATTAAGAAAAAAAAGATAAAGTCGAAGTCTCACTCAAAGGCCTGAGAGAAAAAGTGGGTCTTTAAAAGGGTTTTAAAAGAGCTGAGTGTAGGGGCCTGTCTGATAGAAAGGCCCAATAAAGCAGCGATCGGAATAAAAACACATGCACACAAATAAACACTCCTCCAGAGCAGTGTTTTTCAACCTTTTTTTTAACCGAGGTACAGTTTTTCATTGAAAAAATCTCGAGGCACATGCACCGCCAACCAAAAATGTCAAACAAATCTGTAGCCGCCTATAGTAACACTATAGTTATTCTTATTTTATCTTAAGTGTATTGAAAAGGAATCAAATAAACACAAACATTTATTTTTATAATATTTTATATTTCTTCTTTCAAATTGCACTTAACATGTCCACTTCAATATACATTATATACAAAATCTAGTCATAAGGAATTATTACATGATTACGCCACCAGTCACTAGGACAGCACAGACACTCAGAAATGGCATATTATTTGCAGATAATTAATTCCTTATCAAAAAATCTTTTTAAACCAATTAGGTGAAATAGGATGATTTTCTACGGCACACCTGGTTGAAAAACACTGCTCTAGATGACTCAATTTGAGGCTAAACAGACTCCAGGGCCATCAGTTAAGTAGAAATTATTTAAAAAATGACGGGAAAAACAAGACCACACTTGAAGCTTGACAGACCTTCAAGGGAAAAAACCATAAACAACCAAATCACAGACAGATAATATGTGGAGGATTTCCCCATCAGGAACAAATCTCATTATCTGAATCTTAGGATTTTCCATTAAATGTCATTTCGGTCCAGATGAAAGCTTCTTTTCTTCGGGAATAGATATATATTCTTAGATGTAGGACTCTGGAGATGGTTCTGGTTTGTGTTGGTTGTTTGGCACTTTTCTCCCTGTTATGTGACCATGAACTTTCCACTGTTTACTCTCAAATGAAGTGAGTCTTGTTTTTTAAAGCTCGTTTTTTGTCCTTAGAGTCAGAAGCCGGGTCCCTATGTGAAGGAAATGAATGATGCCGCCACTTTCTACACCAACAGAGTCCTGAAGGAGTACAAAGACACGTAAATATGGCCGAAAACAACCAGAGACGACAAAAACTGGACACATTTCAGGGCCTCAACCAAAACTGAACCGTGGGTTTTAAACCTGAACTGTGTCACAGACTGAGTTCTCTGTATCAAACAAGTACTTATGACATCATTTTAGCTTCTGCTCAACTTTGTAATTTGTAATTTTCCATCATTTTTAAT